AGGAGAGTCTGCAAGTGTAAAACCCTGGGTTCAATTCACATCACCACCCTCAGAAGGAAAAACTAATCTGCATACACAGCATTGAAATAAGGAACCTCTCCCAATGACATAGCAGGAGTCTTCTCAACCAAACCAGATATATTCAGTTATCTCAATATACACACATCTAAAACCTAACTGTCTACTTTAAGGGACGGGCAGTGTGCTGGAGACCAAACCCACAACCTCATGACTGAGCTACATCCTCAGGTCCCAGCCCACTTGTGACTAAATGCTTCCATTTAGAATCTCAGTATGAGAAAAGAGTCTTTTTGTAAACCACAAGCTACCACTTCCTATAGTTCCACAAACTGGGAATGTAAAGTTCTTACCATCCAAGAGCGCCAGCTTCAATTCCCCTGGTAGGACCTCCCTCTACATGGAGTTAGGGTGAACTGAGCTGACAACATCTTGTCTATACAAAGCAATCCTCTAGCTCCCAGCTGCTTACTGGAGAAGGGGAAGAAGACTACCATCATCATGCCTTGGAAGAAATACAAACCCTTCTTCCAATTGACTAATTCTGACTATCCTCCAGGGAACCATGCACCCCACCAGAACACTTACGTACTCACAGGCATAGGCCTTACTATGCCGTTGCTAGATCCACCTGGTAAAGTCATCAATATCAGGCCAAACACAAGTGAGAAGCAGTATTTACTACCTCTACCACTCTCTCTCCCCTCCATTAAACATGCCTACGCCTAGCATGGGTATTATAAACCTAGCATACAATGTTCACAGAATGGATAATTCAAAACCAAACACCCATACTATCTATAATGAACACATAAAAAGGTACTTACTCCTCAAAACAAATCTCCTTCCCCGGTTAAATATGAAATAATATAATCATTAAGATTAACATAAAGGGCCAGAAAGATGGCTCAGAACATACGGGTATGTCTCCAAGCCCACAAACCTAAGTCTAATTCCAGGAACAAACATGGTAGAAGAGAACTGCTTCCTGAAAGTTCTCCCCTGACCTCTTACGTGGGCACTGACATTAGTGTGCCCATACACATATTCGTGTATGCAAAGTAAAGTTTAAAAATGTAGTAACTTGTTTTGTTTTTTTTTTAAAAATAACAAGATAGGCTGGGCAATGGTGGTGCATCCTTTAGTACAAGCACTTGGAAGGCAGGTGTATCCTTTGAGTTCGAGGCCAGCCTGGTCAGCCAGGGGAACATAGTGAGACCCTGTCTCGAAAAACCACACACACAAAATAACAACAAAAAACCAAACAAACAAACAAAAGAGACTGGAGGTAGTGGCTTATGTTTGTAATCCAGCACTTAGAAAACAGAGGCAGGAGGACCAGGAATTCAAAGTCAACCTCAGTCACATAGCAATTCTGAGGTCAGCTTGAGCTTCATGAAACCCTCTCAAAAAGCAAAACAAATATACATAAAAATAAATAAAATAATTTAGAGCAATAAATAGGTTTTAAACTCCAGTAACAAATGAAACAAAATATAACCAACCATTAGGCAAACAAATACCCTGGCTAAGACACCATTAGTTCTGCTAGGCATAGAAACACATCTATAATCCCAGTACTCAAAAAACTCAATAGGTTGAGGAAGGCAGATGTCTAGTTTGAAACCAGCTTGAGATACGCTGTATGACTCTATTTCAAAACAAAACAAAAAACAGCAGTAACAAGAATTATAATAAATAAATAAAACAGAGATGTATGCCATTTCTGGTTTGGAAGACTTAATTTTCAGTGAAGCTATGGTTTCCTATGCTAACACATGGATTTTTGCATACTTATAAATGTAAAATGTCAGTACAGCATCTTGTTAGTAAGGCTTGCTAGTAATATAATGTTTCAAACTGGCCTAGCCCAAAACCAAGTGTGGCAGTACAGGCTTATAATGGTATAGGCCTGTAACCCAAGGTCTCAGAGGAACTAAAAGATCAGAGTTCAAAGTCACTCTTAGCTATATACAGAGTTTGAGGACCCTGTCTTGGTATACATGAGATCTTGCTTTCTTGTCACCAGCACCTCCCAAAAATGTCCTACAGCCAAATAAAAGAACCCTGACATCTTCACTATATTTAAACATTAAAACCCTTCCCTAAATAACACTAGAAGAAAATATAAGCAGTTTGCATGAAGATGTTTCAAAGGCTCGTCAAAACAGCAAACCCTGCTGGGTAGGTAGCTCAGTAGGAGAGTATTTGCCTAGTACATGCAAAGTCCTAGGTTTACTACTCAGTAGAATAAATATTTTAATTTTAATTTTAATTTTAATTTAAAGAAAAATGTCAGGCACTATGCGGGAAGCCTGGAATCCCAGCACTGAGTGAGGAAGGTTGGAAGACTATGAGTTCAAGGACAGCCTGAGCTATACAGAAAAGGCATGTCTCAAAACAAACTCCTTCACATCAATACAAATGTCCAATAAAAAAAGAAAGGTGCATCCAAAGAAAATGGCTTGACTGGATCCATTGATGGTGAACACAAACAAAAAGCAATAATCTGTCCACCAAGTATATATGCACACACTCTTCTCAAAAGGGATATTTGAGTGGGGTATAGTTGCCTTGAATCCCAGCACTTGGGAGACAGAGGCTGGTAGAAAGAACTCTGTATGTGTTTGAGGCCAGCATGGTCTATATTGCAAGTTCCAAGACAGCCAGAAAAACATAATAGAAAGACCCTGTCTCAAAAAAAAAAGCCCCCCCACTCAGAGCCAATGTGGACAGAGCACTAGCCTACAGACAACAGAAGCCCCAACAAGTGGCCAGCAAGCTTGAAGATACATTATCTCTCAAACATCTCATCTAAAGGTAATAACAAAAGTCTCAAAATTTGGACCCAGCCAAGGCCATTACCACTCTCCTCTCATCAATCACACATCCAAACAACCCAATTAGTCTTCAAGGGCCTCTTGGAAACCAAAAGCATTTGTCAAGAAGGCTGGAGTTGCTATCATACTTCATCTTGTCTCCTGGCCAAAGTACCTGCAAGGAGTTTCAGGTCTAAGTGTTAAAAAGTGATGATGTAGCCAGGCAGCGGTGGCGAATGCCTTTAATCCCAGCACTTGGGAGGCAGAGGCAGGCGGATTTCTGAGTTTGAGGCAGCCTGGTCTACAGAGTGAGTTCCAGGACAGCCAGAGCTACACAGAGAAACCCTGTCTCAAAAAACCAAAAACCAACAATCAAAACAAAACAAAAAAAAGTGATGATGCTTTCAGTTTTAGAACACATATGTTCAAGATAAACAGAGAGAGAGAGAGAGAGAGAGAGAGAGAGCAAGCACACAGCGCGCACAGGCAATCTCAGAAAAGTTGAAAGCACATTCTTGTATTCGAACCTTCCAAATCCAGCAGTAGACTGAGCAGAGACAGACTCACCATCATTCCTGAGTAGGGACTCTCCCCTCTATCCATTTCTCTGTCCTATGCGATATCTGCCTAAAGTCAGGGATGTCTATCCTTCCCAAAGAGCCCTATGCAAAGTCATGTGACTCTTCTTTCCGCATATGGAGTTGTCAGGTGGAGTTCATATATGACAGGAAGAAGTGCTCAAGAGGAGCCAGCAGTCAGTGAAAATGAGGTCAAGAGCAGACAGATCCTGTGGCACCCAGCTATGATCACACTTGGGAAGCAGAGGCAAGAAAAAGCTCAAATTCAAGGCCAGCCTGAACTATACAACAAGACTGCCTCCAAAAACAAAATCTCTTTTTTTTTCAATACCAAAACAATACAAAAGCTCAAAGGTCACACTGAAAACAAGAAACAGCTCTATATAAGAGAATTTAAAAATATAAAGAGACTACACCTAACTTATACATTTATACAGTTGCTTTCTGTAAAAATCAAAGCAAAAGGGCAAAAAGAAAAAAGCCAAATTCCTGACAATTAGCCGAATCCAGAGCAGGTCTGGACTGCATTTGAAATCAGTCCATTATAGATCAATTTGTGAAGATTAATTTGGAAAAGGCATTGAAGTGTTACTCCCTTTTTTAAAAAGCCAGCTGTCTTCTACATCACAGACACAAGGAATACAATGCAAAACTAGGAGGACATTCATTGCCTGCCTTCATGATGGTATGAGCGTAGCTCACCACCTTAGACAAATATGGACCAAGTAGCATCACTTGAAATCTATCAGCTCTTAGGGTAGGTTTCTGCCTCCTCAGCTGTACCCAGCTAGGACTGGGAATGAACAGCTGGGCAGAAAACAACTGGAAGTATGCTAGACTGGTAAAGAACCAGATGCAGAACCTAGAACATTCCACTAATCTGGGTCTGCTGTGTACCCACAGCTACAAATTCAGATATCTTAACCATATCTTTTATTTATTCAGAATTCACCTCAACCAAGTTCCACGTGGGAACCCACTTGAAGACTTTGATCTTTAACATGGTGAAGTAACAAGCAAAAAGGAGCCAGGCTTGGCAGTACATGCCTCCCGGCACATGCCTGAGTCCCAGGCTGGCAATGGCCAATAGGATCAAGGGTTACTGAGGCGTAGCCCCAATAGAAGTAAGTTCAGGTCACTTCATTTTAACAGTAAACAGTTCAAATTCCATGAGTAACAGCTACTTGCCAATTCAGTTTTTTAAGATTTTATTTTATTTTTAATTATGTGTAATTGTGTATGTCTAAGTGCGAGTTTGTTCACTGGAGATCAGGGGTCCAAGGAGGCAGTTGTGAGCAACATGACATGAGTGCTGGGAAGTGAACTTAAGTCCTCTGGAAAAGCAGGAAGCACTCTTAACTGGGGCCTTAATTTCTACATTCAACTGCCAGGGCTTCTCTGTAGCTTCTATCAATTAATTTTTGAAATGTAAGATGTCCTAACTCAGTGATCATCATTTGGAATTCTCCACCCAATGCCTTGACATCCTATAAACAAGTCCCTCCCGAATCTCTGAGCTGTCACTTCTGCTCTAACAGATCAGGACAGATGGGAGCAGAACAAAGTTTCTTGAACAGTGACTCACCAGGCAGTCTGTTCATGTTAACACCTTGCGCTGAGAGTCCAATTCCCATGTACCTTAAAAAAAAAGCAAACAGGGAAGGAATGAGAACAAAGCAGAACACGCTGTATGTCTGAGAGCTGTATGTCTGAGGAGGCCGTGATGGAACTCATTACTTTGTATGCTAGTTGTATCCCCTTTCACAAACAGTTCTTGGTAGAAAACTGAAAAAGGAGAACTCAGTGAGTCCAGACTTCTTCAATGCACTAATGGCTCTCAAAGAAGCCTCAGCTTCTGACCTGATTTCTCTAGGCCCTACCTGCAGTCCTTTTTCCTCTTTTCTTCTTTTTCTTTCTGAGAAAAAGGTCTTTCTATGTATCTCTGGCTGTCTCAGAACTCACTACGTAGACCAGGCTGGCCTCAAGATATACCTACCTCTGCCTCCCCAGTGTTGGGATTAAAGGTGAGCACCATTACCCCTGGCTGGCCTTTTGATTTCTAATGGAAGCAACCTAATATCTTTGCAACTAAAGAAAGAAGAGGGTTCATAAGATGACTCAGCAGGTAAAGGAACTTGCCATCAAACCTGAAACTTGAATTCTACCTCTGGGACCCATAAAGTAAAAAGAAAATACCGACCCTTGAAAATCTTTGTCTGACTTCAAGATCTGTCTGTGATATATGTGTTCACACATAAACACATAAAATAAACAAATACATACAATTTAAAATATTTCTTTAAAAGAAATGAGATAGTATATGTGACCATGACTAACTGGTAACATGTACTGAAATCATGGTCTCCAGTCCTCCAGCAAATTCCAACCAGAGCAGGAGAATCCATTCCTTAAAACCTAAGAACTGGGGCTGGAAAGATGGCTCAGTGGTTAAGAGCACTGACTGCTCTTCCAGAGGTCCTGAGTTCAAATCCCAGCAACCACATGGTGGCTCACAACCATCTGTAATGGAATCTAACACCCTTTTCTGGTGTGTCTGAAGACAGCTACAGTGTACCCATATACATAAAAAAATAAATATATCTTTAAAAAAAAAAAAAAAGCTGGGCGGTGGTGGCGCATGCCTTTAATCCCAGCACTTGAGAGGCAGAGGCAGGCGGATTTCTGAGTTCAAGGCCAGCCTGGTCTACAGAGTGAGTTCCAGGACAGCCAGGGCTACACAGAGAAACCCTGTCTCGAAAAAAAAACAAAAAAAACAAAAAACAAAAAACAAAAAAAAACCACAAAAAAACCCAAGAAACAAAAAAAAACCTAAGAACTGGGGAATGAGTGGCACAGGGCAATGCAAGGTCACACTTGCTCATTAGTAAGGAGCAGCACACTGAAGAAGTATAGCCATGACTTTTCTGCTCCGTCAGGACCCCTGACACAGCTTCCCCTCAGGATTCTCCACACATACACACATTGTCGTTGTCCCCCCATCCCACCCCCGTGCATCTATGGCTAACTTCCTAGATCACACAAAGCAGGGAGGTGGTAAAGCTTGAGCTTCTCAAACCATTCCCCCACACACACATCTACCCCAAGTACCTAAGTAAGGTAAGCAAGGAAAGGTGGGGCCCTTCCTCTGGCAACTTCCTAGTCTTAGTGGCACTTGTAAGAAGAGGTAAACCAAAAAAGGAAATCTCTTTTTCAGTCTAAACGTGTATGGTACATACAAAAATGGGGAATTCTTAAAGAATTTAAAAATAAAAGAATCAAATCATCATTTTTTAACATTAAAAGAACAGAAGCCAATATAAACGATCTGATTCGAAGCATATACAAGCATGAACTAAACAGGCAGCTCAGTACTGAATAAAACATCCAAAACACCATCCAAAGAGGCTGACGGGGACCTCATAACTGCCCAGCAATGTTGATGCACTTAATGCCACTGAACTGTACAGGTCTGCTTCCTAACAATCACAGGGCCTACACCATAGTGACCCAGCGATCCTTATCATGTTGTACAGGTATCAAGAAAAGACATAGACTAGCACATAGCACTAATTAATCTAGCCCACAGTGCTTAAAGGAGAGGAAGTCAGGAAAAAGAAAAGGTCTGGCATTTTATAGAGGGGCATCCATAATTTAGAGAAAACTTGGCTTCATTATTTTACTATTTGGGACACAGAGTTAGAAGATCCTTTGAGGTAAAAGACATAGCCCAATACATAGCTGGAGGCTAAGCAGAATGCTCAGCCCTTCCAAGAAACATACAGTGACTGCCAGAAAGGGCCAGCTTCTAGGACCATCAGGAGCTGCTGTGTGAGCCCACTGGCAGAATTCCCATTAGATTAGAACCTGCACATTTCCCCAGAAAAAAAAAAAACAGCAGTCTAAAGAATTAGCTTCCTGGCTTTATGTGGTAGAGGATGCCAAGAGCTGGTTGGTCTCCATTCCCTGGATGTCTTTGCTGACCAAGCAGTAAACAACTCAAGTAGCCTGTCCAAACTACACAAGTGAGCACAGCCAGGGGTCCTCCCAGCTTGGATGTAACTCATCCTGTGCTACTGCGAGGTGTCTGCGCCTGAATCCCATAACTCATGTAGTCCCACAATTGGCATTAAGAGTTTCCTGAAACTAAGTAAGAGCTTGTGTTTGGAATCTATTTGCTCCCTGGATGACTCTTGATGCTTTAAGCTAGTGCAAACATGGTAAACCAAGGATCCACCAGCCAAAGTTCTGGTTCTGGTTCTACAATGTTCCATGGGGATGAGTGACCACTGTGACATATATGCTTAAAACACAAGTTGTTTTTAGGGGGTTACAAGTATAGCTCAGTAGTACAGCCCTTGTCTAACATGGACAAAGCCTTGGGTTTGATCGCCAGCACTATAAAAAAAAAAAACACACACACAAACAAAAACAAACAAAAAAACACACAAACAAGTTATTTGTTCCTTTCTACAAGAAAAGTCTCTTCTATCTTCAGCGGTACTCATCATGTTCCTATTGGTTCTGTGTTCCTCAAGAGGAATGGCATTTCATAATGGCCCGAGAGCCTCTGCACAAACTAGCACCTCAACTTCAAAATCTGATGGGATGAGTTAAGTGTAGAGCAGCCAGGGGAAGCTGACTCCCATTCACACTGGCACCATGCCACCTTTGCGTGTCAATGACACAGAGAGCAGCTCCACAGGAGCCCATCCAGCAGACCCAGCTGAGTCAGGGTCCAGGGGAACCAGGCCCCAACTCTTCAAACACCAGACAACACTAAGTCTTTTCCAAAGTGAGGGCATTCTGAAGCTACAAGAAGCCATAGGCTCCTGAGCTACATGTGGCAGAGCATCTGGACCAGGACCAGGTGCCTGGACTCAAGCCCCAGGCACTGAATAAAAGAAGAGGAAGAGCTGTTGTTTCACAGATGGGTGTAATGGCACATAAATGTAATTCCCCAGCAGCACTTGGTAGGAAGAGGCAGATAGAATAGCACAAGTCGAGGGCCAGCCTGGACTACAAAGCAAGTCACCTAGGACTCCGTAAAGAGATCTTGTCTCAATGTTTTGTTCAAAATAGATGTAGGTTCCCATCTTCTAGTGAGTTCTCAGGCACCTAAAGATGATCATCCAACCAGCCTAAAACAAGCAAAGTAAGGACCCTATACATAGACTAAAAATGCTGAGCTACACACTTTTTGGGCTTGGTTTTGCAATACTGGGAATCTAGCCCAGACAAGGGCTGTACTGCTGGTCTACAGAGCAAGTTCTAGGACAGCCAAGGCTACACAGAGAAACCATACCTCAAAAAACAAATAAGCTGCTGGGCAGTGGTGGCGCATGCCTTTAATCCCAGCACTTGGGAGGCAGAGGCAGGAGGATTTCTGAGTTCGAGGCCAGTCTGGTCTACAGAGTGAGTTCCAGGACAGCCAGGGCTACACAGAGAAACCCTGTCTCAAAAAAACAAACAAACAAATAAGCAACAACAACAAAAATTAATAATAATAACAAGCCAGGCAATGACGGCACACACCTTTACTCTCAGCACTGAGTAGGCACAGATGGACCAGCCTGGTACTTGTTTATCAACTGAACACTTAATCTTAAAATGTCAATACCAGGACTGAGAGATGGGTAAGTGGTTAAGAGCACATGCTGCTTAGCAGAAGATCTGGGTTCAATTCCCAGCACTCACACGGCCCCTCACAAGCATCTATAACTCCATTTCTAGGTGATCTGATGCCTTTTCTGACTTCCTCAGGCACTCATGGTACACTTATATACACTTGGTCATATACACAAAATTAAATAAATACATGCTTTTTAAAAAAAGACAATGTCAGACTTCCCAAAGCTCATTAACCTTTTTTTTTTTCCAGAAATAAAAAAATCTATGTGGAATCTCAGGTGGCAGTAGGTAGCCAAAATAATCTTCAAAAAGTAAAAACAGTTGGGAGGACTCACATTTCCTGATTTCAAACTTACTACAGTAAAGCTAGATTAATCAAAATAATATAAGACTAAAATACAATAATAAAAATAAAAAACAACCCAATATAGGACTAGCAAAGACAGACACAAAGACCAACAAAATAAAATGGAAACAGGTAGCCTAGAAATAAACCCTCATCTATGCAGTTAGCTGACTACGACAAGAGTGCCACAACCACTCAGTACAAGTAATACCTTCTTCTAGAGACCCTGAGGTCTCAGTCATGCCTTCCACAGAGATGAGCAAGTGCTGGGTTCACAGGGCAGGCTCCTACTCTCAATGCCACCAGCAGCAAGTTAAGGTTGAACTACAGAGCCAGAGTGCACTGAAGCTGAGCCAAGGCCTGGTAAAGGAGATGAGAGATGCTACAGGGAGCATGTGCTGTGCAGAAGCAACAGACTGTGCAAAGGCAACAAGACAAGAAAGCAGACACAGAGTAGAGGAACTGAAAGACACTCAGTGTGGCTGAGTTGTAGGCTGGGCAGACATACAAAGGACCATAGCAGAACAGGAAATGGGGGGAGGGGGATACACACAGCCTACATACTAACTTAAGGAGTTTCAACTTCACGAGAGGTCAATAGGAAGCCACAGAAGAGGTGTAGGAAGGCTACAACTGATCAAATGGCAGGCACGGACTGAAGAAG